TTTTTATGTATTTTAAATGAAACCGCAACATAGTACTAGGCTGGCACTGATTTAATTACCTCAAAAGTGAGATAAAATGTTTGAAAATTTGCATAAGGTTCATAAAAAAAGAAAGTCTAGAAAAACAGCATTTTGTTGTTGTCACAGCTTGCTCTAACTAGGGACGGGAATCAAGTTTTTGGAAGCCAGTTTATTGAGAATGTTCTAAGTGATCTGCACTATTTGACAAGTTCATAAATCAGTTGGTTTAGGGATGGGGTTGGGTTTTGCATTGATAACTTCGTACATAACTTTATGAGATGACTGAGACTTATGCATGTCTTCAGCTGCTGATATCTAAGCTGGAGAAGAACAAGTCCATGAAGACGGAGGATAAGGCTCAGATCATGCTGACCCTCACCACCCTCACCAACAGCATCACCAGACTACAGGAGCAGATGAAAGGACTGTCCAGTGCTAATGCCCTCAGGACCACACTCAAGAGCAAAGCTCAGGTACACACACGGTCCCAAAGCACCATAATCAACAAATGGATTTTTCTGCATATGTATATCCTGATGCATCTCTGTTTTTAGGCTCAAAAGGAGCTCCTGGACACCGAGTTGGACCTTTATAAGAAAATGCAAGCAGGAGAGGACACTGCTGAACTCAAGATCAAATATACTCAGCTGCAGTTAGAGGTATTTCACAAAGAGACAAAAAGCTCTGTTTTTGAGCTCGTTTGTGGTTGTAATTGATTTCTTATAGCTAGAAATTGACATGTTTATATTTTTCCAAATGTAGACAATAGTGTGTGTAGACAATAGTATGTAGTGCCACTCAGTCTTTCCACTGAGTGGCACTACAGTGCTACTTAAGCTTCATAAGCGTATATTAGATCTTTTCTTTTCATTCAGGCTGCCAAAAGGGGGCTTCTGACCCCAGGACGTGGGAGGGGGGCCCACGGCAGGGGTCGGGGGGCCCTGAGGAGCCGAGGCCGAGGGATTCGAGGACGCGGGAGAGGAGTCCCAACTCACGCTGTGGTGGATCATCGACCCAGAGCTTTACAGATCAGCGGTTTCACTGAGGCAGATCGAGT